GTCGCACTTGTTGATGCCTATATTGGTTAAATTCTGTAATGATCATGGATGACCACACCGTGACCTTGTTCACTTTGACGAGACTTCTGTGAGGCAGGTTCTCGTGCTGACGCGATCTCACATATTTCGGAACATGATGAAACGAATCACGAGCCAGATAACTAGTGTGGGATGAGTAGTGATAAAAGCGATTTTCGAGTGGAAACAGATTTACTAATCTAAACCGCAATTCTATATTGGGGAAAAAGGCTGTGTAAGCTGTGATTGTGTGAAAAATTTGTTTGTGTTGCCTACCAATTAGATAGTGATCCTGATCCTGAGGTCGCAGGTATAAATAGGCCTTTCGATTGCGATAAAATTAGTGTATGAACCGAACAACCGTGTGAAGAGAAACCAGAGTTCGAGTCGTGACTGTCAATTGTATTTTCTTGGAGATGCCAAACACATGATGGGACGTGGGACCATCAATGGACACTGATCCACGAGCGATTTAAATGCCACACTTACATTTCAATAAATTGATGTGATGAGATAGAGCTTGTACAATGCTTTTATTTCAATAGAAGCATAGTAACGACTGATTTTTAAACGTCGAGGGTGCCTGTAATCATGCTAACTTGATGGGATTCCCACGGTGGAAAGTAGAGAATTGTGACGGAAGACGAGAGGGCGGATGCGGGATTCGCGGTTCCGACTGTGAGGGGCTCGCCCGAGGCATTGGTCGCCGGCGCAGGCGCTACTTTACAAACTGAAAGAAGCTCTTGCACGAACCAGGGGAAAGTGGGTGGTCCGTAGAAAATGAAATTTCGGGCACCGCGGAGTTTCCGTCTGTAAAGACAAAAAGGACAGGTGTGGTCGTTATCCACGAAATTCCTCGACCAATTATCCCTGCTAAAATTCACCCGAGTAAACGCCTTGATAGAGTAAAATCATGGTTGATATCGAGAGTTGCATAAAAACGGTCTCATTTTTCTGCAGATAGCTCTAAGGAGGCTCGTAGACAAGAAAAATCTCCTGACGTCATATAGAACTCAGGGAGGTGAAACAAATCCAAACTACACATGCGCATGCTTGCGCTTGGTGACAATTTCTGACATAACTGGGCCTATTAGCGTATAACGAGCTACTAAAGCCAAACATGACCAATGGGAGCTAAAAAATCGAGATGTGGATCCCACGCACAGATCCCCGCATGATTCAAATTCGGCCCTCACAAAAGCTAATAACTTTGCATAAATATGACTGCTGAGGACGAAGAAAAAGAGCAGTCTCGCAGGTTTTGTGCACTGCACACGCATGACACATTTAGGAGAGGAAGACGCCCAAAAATAAATGTGCACAAAATAAAGTCAAATTGCCTTTCGATAACCTGCATTATGAACCACACCACCATCCATGGGAATGAAAACTCCATTATTGAAAGCATCATTTGTTTTAACGAAGTGACTGTTCTACAATAAATTTAGCCCTACGATTAGGTATAACAGCTCAACGTCAGTACATACTGATTTCTTTAGTTATCAGGAGTATAATTTCTGATACCTGCGGTTTGTCAGTCTACAGGCTCTCATCAACAAGGCATGGAGGCCTGCAAATTTTAAATGGAGGTAAAGGTCAGAGAGATATAAACAACAGCGCATCAATGTCATTCAACATAAACCAAGCGTCAAAATGGGTTTCAGATACCGACTAAACAAGAGGGAAGATTGAAGCATTTCTTGATGACATATGCAGTGATTTGTTGACGATAGCCTAGAAATGAGCCTTAGCAAAGAAATAACGTTGATGTACGAAACAATCTTAAGGATGGAATGAGTCACTAGCAGCCACTGGATGAAAATGCCTGATGAAAACAAGTGACCAAGGGGGAGTTGCATTGCGATGCTGGTTACGTCCCTCATCAAAAAATGCAAGCAAGTTGAAAATGAAAATGTCTTCTGCCACGACCTTCACCGATGCAGCTCAGAAGAAAATCAAAGTCCTCGATTTATAGCAATAAAATTCGGCAAATAAAGGTCAATACATGGAAACTGATTTGCGGAGCATGCATCTAAGCACAAGTAGTGAGTGGAAAATCCTGTGAATATTAATTAAAATTATCACTACAAAGGCCACCAAAAAGCCAAAACATATTCAAGTGGCTCGTGCTACCATTTGGCAAGAAAATTTCCCTCACATGATATTACCGCATAATCATGCAAAACCGGCTTTCACGGTAAGACGTGAGTTGGAGTGTGAAGATGTTAACAAAAGCATTTTTACTGTAAAATCGTGACTGCTGAAGCAAAACAGGTATGAGAGGTTTAAATGGAGCGCAACTTTACGGTGAATATGAGAACTTTATCCCAAAATATACAGCTTAGAGCTTTTGTGGCGGCATCAACAAAAAATTACTACGACACAAAGCATACCGACGGAAAAAGTAGTAACGTTCGCTGATCAGCATAATACGGATACGACCTTGGTCGAATAGGTTTCGATACCGCTCAGCTTCATTGTCCTCCATGTACCTAAAAAAGAGATGAATTAGGAAACAAACATGAGTTTATTTTAAAAAAAGGATTTTTGTTAGGGAAGTTGTCAGCAATCACTGCAAACACATCAACACCTTCAAATAAAGTTTTTACAGTTTTGGAAAAAGATAATAGATAGGTTTAAAAATTCATTTACGTTTTAGGCATGTGAGTGCAAGTAGGGTACCACTACACTGTCCCATAAAATAAACTGATGTTTAGATTGTAACACGTCATTATGATATTAATTACAGCGCCAATTTTTGAAAAATTATTGGTAAAGCATGACAATCTCTATACTCCACAGGATCATGATTCTAAGTATAAAACTTGAAGGATGTCTGCAAACTCTTCATTGAAGCTCGATTTTGATGTAACTTGAGAAAACACGTGTTTTGAGAAATGAGATGAGTAGATATAAGAACTTGCTCATGAACGTAGCAGAAGGAGAGGGCTTCTTCGCGCAGGAGGTTACGCAGCTCCTCGATGTCATAGTAATCTGGGACGTAGATAAGCACACGCTCGTCAAGACCCTTCCTAAGGCGCGGTAATAAACGCTGCTTGAAGGCAGCGAGTCGAGCGAGTGGTATTGCACGACCACCTAAATACATAACATTGTTACTGAACATATTTAAATAGATATGTGCAAATTCTAAACCCGGTCACACTACATGAATAAGCCGGCTGTCATTTGAAGACATGCACGATAAGTAGGAGTTCTACACTGTCAGATTATTGGTATAGAAAAGAGGATTCACAGAGGAAGCGCAAACGGACTGACCTTAGCTAAGACACCTAATGCCAAGTTCTGATTCAAGAAATTCGACATTCAGTTCACACTTACAATTTACTTTTGCACTCCGAAGTAAGGTTTATTTTAATGAAGACTTCTCGATAACATAGTTTAAACTTTAATGGTACACATGCGAATTAGTGCTACAAAGCAGTGAAGGTTAACATTTTGTCAAAATTCAAACAGCAAACCTGGCGACTCAAATACCTTTATCGGAGAAGTCGCAGGCAAGGAGACTCTTTTTAAGTAACAACGGTGCATTCATGTCCTCCAAACGACCTAAATTTGCATCAGCTTCTGCCACTTCGTTGCTCTCATGAAAATCATCCTTCGTTAGCTGAAACAACGGGTTTGAGGTAAGGGTTGATCCAGTCACACCAAAGGTTATCAAGTTAAGCTTGAAATTGTCCAAGGCGGTCAAATCAATTGAATTTTCGAATGCCTCCTTCGCCGAACGTTTAAGTCCGGGCACACGGTGCTTATACGGTAAGAAACTGGGAAATAAGCTGTCTTCTTGGTACCGCGGGACTGGAAGGAAGAGATTCATTCCCTGAAAATCTGCCAAAAATAGTAAATAAGTGTGGCGTCTTCATCGAAGACAGCTAAGAACTCCGGTTTGTTACTGAATTAATGGTATTTTTTAGAATAACACATTAACATTAATGAAATCCTTGCAATCATACATTGTCTTTCAAATCCGAACTTGTTTGGTTTACTAGAGCAAGATTCTAGGTAAAATTTTTTAGCGTCTACAAAGCTATACTGAGAACAATTAACAGTTAACTGCAAAAACGGATTATGGAAAACTGCAGAGCAAAAGAGTTGTGCCCCAAAGCAAGGTTACGCTAGATGAAATCTACCCATGTGCAGAACCATAACAACATGAGTTAACTAACTTTCACATTTGCTTATCAATGAGTTGATCAAGTGGTTATCAACAGCGGAGAAGAGAATAGTTTGACGAAATCGAGAACCATATCCCGCCAAATAAGCAAGACGAATCCGTGCGGGAGAGGAAATTGCAGGTTTTGTAGGTTTATGGTTCAATCGATTAACAAATTCCTGCAAAACCGCCCAATTCTGCATAAGCAAATGCTCTGCTTGGTCAATGACCAAAACCTCCGTAGATGTGGTAATATATTGCAAATCCGAGGTCATGGCTCTGAAAAGAGGCCGAAAACATTCGAAAAATACTTTTGCCTGCGCTTGGGGCTAGATCAGGTGAAAACAACTTACTCATTATTGTTTATGAGAGTTTCGAGGCCCAATGGAGAAGCAAGTATAATATCGGATTCCGAAAAAGGAGAATACAATTTAACCGTTTTCTTTGAAACAGCTATCCCGATTCGAAAACGGTCATCGTGATTGCCTAAGATAAAAAAACTGTCGACTACAGAGTCCATTAATTAAAAACTTCGAATTTGTTGAGGACGCTATTTAAATAAAATAAAAAATTTATGAAGAAAAAAACAAAGCAGAATAAAAGAAATTGAATTGTGACGCACAAGGACCAAGAAACCATTTGGCAGATATCCTAGGCTACATCTATAACTTTTGACATACATTCGATGCTACAGCTAGCATGCAACTAAAGAAAAAGACTATACACGAAAACCACTCCTCGAAGTCCGGAGGCTTTTTGCCCTTCCGTTTATCCCGATCTGATTGCCCTTCCTCTGGTCCGAATTCACGTTCAAACCGTTTCCTATGGCTAACTGTGGAACCCTTCGGCATAAGACGCAGCATCTGATGAACGGTACGTCTGGCGGATTCACGCGTTGGTAAGATAATCAGTGTTCTGGCACGATGAAATCCTTGATCTCGCAAGGAACTAGAATTGGAGAACACATAACCAAGCACATAAGGAATAAAGTGTTAAAAATGCAATTGCGGATGCACTTACTCATCCAGGCCAGATTTTTCAGCACGAAGAGAATTCTTTTTCATCAATTTGTGAGAACTACAATACAAAACAAGATCAAAGGAGACTACTTTAAAGTGTGGTTTAGGACGTGTGCGCAATATAGCTCCCGAATTTGTTCCATTGTCGGATCACGAAGACAATAAAATAGGTCTTCATAGTTGTCCACCATTTTTGCAATGTCTTTCAAACGTGTGTCAAGCGACACCGAAATGGGCTAAACATTAATATACGCAGAATTCAAGTTACATTTTTCGTATTTAAATAAGGGAAATTGGTTTGGTCCGATGTTGAGCGGTAGCATCCACTAAAGGGACTCTTAAAATATTAAAATTTTGAGGGAGTCGACAAACCAATGCAACTCTACATTTGACCGAGGGGAGTGAGTCTATCTTGATGTAGTCAAAACTAAAGTGCCGATAGAATGGAGATCCTAAAAATCGACTACTATAAAGGAGATCTACCTTCCAAAGACGAGACCATGACCATAAATTCAATCGACACGTGATGCCGTACTGTGGTATTGTGGTATGGTGTGGTGTGGTGTGGCGTCGGATCAGGGCGCAGACATGTTGGACCACCTGGCCTCAGCCAATCCCGTGTCTCTCTGC